TTCAGGCTCAATTTTCTGGAATGGTTTAGTTAAAACAGTTCAACCACTTCTGAGAAAGAGGTTAGAAAAAATTACAATGTTTTCCCCCATGTTAAAAAACACGACTATTTTCACAGAATCTCTAGTGTCTCCACACTCTGGAACAGGGATTAGAAATTTGGTGCGAGGGATAATGATATGCCTTTTGCCATCCTCATGAAACTTCCCTCAAGTGTGACCACGTTATGAGTGTCTGAAAATCTCATTTTGCACATGCCCGTCAGCAGAGGTGAGGAACTAGCAGCATTGTTCTTCAAAGGCTCTGTCCTCACTGAGCACACAGTATCCTCGTGCAGCTCCTATATGCTGACTGGACTACACACATAGCATCCCAGGGGCTGAGCAAACCTTTCCCTGCTGCATGGATATGCAATTGCCAAAGCTGCTGTGGTATTATCTGCCAGGACTTGAAGAGCAAGGCCCTTCACAGCTAGAGAAGAGAAGCCCTGCAGGCTAGATTTATCATTCTTATGTTCTCCCTGTTTCTCCTGCTCATTGGGAGCCTATGCATTCATGGACCATTTCAGAGAGGGAGACCAGGGCCTTCTGTGTGGTAACCTGGTCCTAGACCAGGGAGGGTTCACCTTTCCAAACACAGATCCAAGACTGATGCGTGTCAGAATTTTGGAGTCACACTGCACTCAGCTGAAGATGAGCACTGTTTCTTTGGCAGAGCAACCCTGAAATGGCCTTCCCTTAAGAAAGTCAGTGCTACCCTGGCGATGGAGAGCTGTCACCTGCACAGCACAGGCTGACACAGTGCAATCAGACTCAGCCTTTCTGGGGCAGGGAAATCCCACGGCTCAAAACTCCTCTTTTCCTCCCACCTGGTTCCAAGCAGGAGGTCCAGTGCCACTATCCTCTTTGAATGGCATTCAGGCCTCCCGTGGCAGCTTGACAAGGATGGTGAAGGAGCTGGCCTGAGCAGAGCTGAAGTGTTTCCAGTCCCCAAAACTGACCAACTCCCATAAACTTCTCTGGTTTGAGGATCACAGAGTCAGGACTGCAGAGCAGAATCACCTGCTCACCAGGCACTAAGGGATTTTGTCTCAGCACAGGCTCAGACCCCCAACCCAACACCACCCATCAAAACACTCCATGAGATGGTGCTTCAGGCAGCTGCTCTACTACATCATGTCCTGGAAGAGACGAATAGGCAACCCACCTTTCTATTGAGGACAGGGCCTTCACCTTGTGAATCTATCCATAACAGTCACTAATTCATCACACAACCCTGAGTAGCCTTTGTCTCAACCAGAAGATAGAAAAATGGGATGAGAGCTACATGACCAGCAAGCAATAAGGGAAACTAAAATCTGCCAACGAAGCAGAGAAAGCTACCAATGCTGAGTAATGACCTTTCCTTCTCATTCAGAGCTAGAGGCGAAGTCTGACAGAACAAACAGTGCAGGCAGCAGAGTGAACACCATTGCCATCTGACTCTCTGATGCACGCAGTAAGACTTGTGGAGGCCAAGGACATCACAAGGGGGAGCCACAAAGTCAATACTTAAAGAAAAACTCCCTAGATGTCAGGGGGAAGAAAGAGACAGAAGACTCCCGAGGAAGATCCCAGAGAGGAACGCAGGGACTTGAATCCTGGGCCCTCAGATTAAGAGTCCGATGCTCTACCTGCACTCCTCTCTGAGGCTCTTCTTCTGTCTCTTAAAGAAAAAGTCATACATGTTTCACTGCTCATTAACATGAGCCCAATGTAAAGTCTAGACTTTAGTAAGGCATTTGATACGGTCTCGCATAATATTCTTATCAATAAACTAGGCAAATACAACTTAGATGGGGCTACTATAAGGTGGGTGCATAACTGGCTGGATAACCGTACTCAGAAAGTAGTTATTAATGGTTCACAATCCTGCTGGAAAGGCATAACAAGTGGGGTTCGCAGGGGTCTGTTTTGGGACCAGCTCTGTTCAATATCTTCATCAACGATTTCGATATTGGCATAGAAAATACACTTATTAAGTTTGTAGATGATACCAAGCTGGGAGGGGTTGCGACTAATCTGGAGGATAGGGTCATAATTCAAAATGATCTGGACAAATTGGAGAAATGGTCTGAGGTAAACATGATGAAGTTTAATAAAGACAAATGCAAAGTGCTCCACTTAGGAAGAAACAATCAGTTTCACACATACAGAATGGGAAGCGACTGTCTAGGAAGGCGTTCGGCAGAAAGGGATCTAGGGGTTATAGTGGACCACAAGCTGAATGAGAGTCAGCAGTGTGATGCTGTTGCAGAAAAAGCAAGCATGATTCTGGGATGCACTAACAGGTGTGTTGTGAGCAGAGCTCGCTGAACTGCGGCAAGCCCTGCTTGCCAGCCGTGCTGTCCAGCAATCTGCGCATGCACAGATTGTTCTGCGCATGCGCAGATCGCCCGAACCTGGCTCTTCCGGGTTGCAATCTACTCATCATTGGCGAGTAGACTGCCTTATTTGTCGAGCCCTGGTTGTGAACAAGGCATGAGAAGTCATTCTTCCACTCTACTCTGTGCTAGTTAGGCCTCAGTTGGAGCATTGTGTCCAGTTCTGGGCACTGCATTTCAAGAAAGATGTGGAGAAATTGGAGAGGGTCCAGAGAAGAGCAACAAGAATGATTAAAGGTCTAGAGAACATGACCTATGAAGGAAGGCTGAAAGAATTGGGTTTGTTTAGTTTGGAAAAGAGAAGATTGAGGGGGGACATGATAGCAGTTTTCAGGTATCTAAAAGGGTGTCATAAGGAAGAGGGAGAAAACTTGTTCATCTTGGCCTCTGAGGTTAGAACAAGAAGCAATGGGCTTAAACTGCAGCAAGGGAGGTTTAGGTTGGACATTAGGAAAAAGTTCCTAACTGTCAGGGTAATCAAACACTGGAATAAATTGCCCAGGGAGGTTGTGGAATCCCCATCTCTGGAGATATTTAAGAGTAGGTTAGATAAATGTCTATCAGGGATGGTCTAGACAGTACTTGGTCCTGCCATGAGGGCAGGAGACTGGACTCGATGACCTCTCGAGGTCCCTTCCAGTCCTAGTATTCTATGATTCAATGACTTCAGCTAAATCAGCAAGATTCTTTTCCTTTTTCCTCCCAGTAATTCAAGTATCTGTATTCAGGACCTGATAGTTGAGAGATTAAAAAGTAGTGAAACTTACGCTTTGATGTCCCCTCTCACATTTTTTGACTGAGCTGATCCGAGTAAGCAAGCTGGAATGCCTGACATTCTATATGAAGAAAGCACAAACAAGATATGGTTTGTTCATGTGAAATTATTTCTTTGTTTCCTGTCTCTTAGCTAGTTTTAGATCCGTGACAGTGTTTTGCCTCTCTACTCATAACTACTTTTCTTTATTAGCCTCTTGTAAGGGACCTTATCAAAGGTTTTTTGAAACCCTAAATACATGTCAATCAGCTCTCATTTACCCCTACTTTACAAACCAAAGAATTATAACAGATTAGTGAGACTTAACTGTCCTTTGCAGAAACCATGCTGGTTAGACCCCCTCATACCATGATCATCCAGGTGTTTTACTATTCTATTTAATTATTGTCTCAGCCAATTTACCCGATGGCGATGTAAGGCTTATTGGTCTATAATTCTTTGAGTCTTCTCTAGATGCTTTTAAAACATACAGGAACATTAAAGTAGCTTTTTTTAAATGAGCAATTCAATATTTCTGCTACCAGATCAACTCCTTCCTACTTGAGCGGCTTCAAAACTCTTGGATGTATACCACCTGGGCCTGGGATTTATTGCTTTTTAAATGATCCATTAGTTCCAGCTCTGGAACACTTCAATCTCCGATAGCACCTCATCCAAACTGACAGTTGAATTAGTGGGCATATGAGACTGCAGAGATCCAATACCTTCAGACTCCAAAATTAATGAACCAGTGAGCAGGTGGTAAATAAACAGACACTCATTTTACATTGATGGGAGCAAATGTCTAGATAATGAGTTAGACACACAAACATATTCTGGCCAATATTTGTCCTTGGAGGCTTGTGGGCAGCAAGGGAAGTCTGTCGAGCCTCTCATCTACATAATACCATAATTTGCAGCAGAAAACAGCAAATATAAGGAAAGTGCTTAATACAAAAATTCCATGTTTGGGAAAGGCATTTTCCCTGTCTGGTTTGCAAAGGATGGAAGAGACTGAGCAAGCATAATTCTCCTTGAGAGTACAGCTCAGTAATACTGTCTAGGGGAAACAATGGCACATGTATTGTAGTTATATAAAAAAGAGGCAGCGTAAATCCAGAATATTCTACATTAATATTGATAATTTCAGAGTGGTATCTGTGTTATGTTAGTCTGTAACTTAAAAAAACAAGTAGTCCAGTAGCACCTTAGAAACTAACAAAAACATATATAAAGTATCATGAGCTTTTGTGGGCTAAACCCACTTACCTGAGGAAAATTCAACATTAATATTAATAGAATTTAAAAGCAGAATGGACTATTGTGATCATTTAGTCTGACCTCCCGCATAGCACAGGTCAGAAAATTTCACCCAGTGACTCTTTCAAGAAATCAATAAAACTTTTAGGAAGACATTACATCTTGATTTAAAGACATCACGTGATGGAAAAGTCACTACACTCCAGGTAAGTTGTCCACATGGTTAATTACCCTCCCCGTTAAAAAACTGTGCCTTAACTGCAGTCTGAATGTCTCCAAACAACTTTTGGCTCTGGCATCATTGCTTAGAGTCCAGAGAAGAACTTTCAGGGTCTGAAGTATCCCTCGTGCACTTTCTAGCAGGAGTCATTTTATGAGAGATTCTCTTGATTTTCTGGCCCAAGTGAAACAGAAGCTGAAGACTGAACAGCAATATGGTCCATGAGAACTCCTTAAGCAGAAATAGCATCTGCAGCACTCATAATCAAACCAGGGAATCAGTCGATGACCAGAAAGGCAGAGCTTAAACCTCAAGGGCTTAGTATCCACCATAAGAGCAGGAAGGTGGGAACATTTGCAGGAAAAAAAACTCACTGGACAAAAAAAGGGGGACCTGATGCTGCCAAATGAGCAGAACAACTGCTAAACTAACTAATTATAGCCTAATATTTAATGTTACAATGCATTATTTACAGAACATTCACTTATTATTCTCTAGTGGGAAAACACTGGTGAGTTCTGACCGTCACAGATGTCAGGAGGGAACAGAGATAGGTGCAGCCACACTGCCCTTTATTCCCAAGGTTGAAACAGGGAAAGTGAAGGATGTGTTGGATTCTCCATCACTTGACATCTTTAAATCACAGCTGGATGCTGCCTCCTGAAAGATCTGCTCTTGCTCAACTAGAAATTATTGGACAGGATGCTGGAATCACTGGAGAGGTTTCCTGGCCAGTGCTATGCAGGGGTCAGATGAGATAGGCCTAATCGGGAGTGTCAAAGCTGCAGCCTTTCACACCAACAAATGGCAGAAAAAGCATCCCTGGGTTTCTGTGGGGACATGGCACGTGCCTGCTACTGTTATACTACTTACTCAAGCTGCAGCACTTGGTCCTCCATCAAAGAAATAAGAGGAGAGATGACTATTCCTGTGCCGCTTGTATAAACGGGTGGAAACTGGAAACACAAGCTCTTCCCATATCCTTAAAGAGAAAATACACCCCCTAATGCCACAAGTGTTAAATACTGAAAGTCTAATTCCTCCCCACAGGCTTATTTGGTATCTCGCTTTCCCCATTATTGTACCTCCTAACACCCAACAGATCAATGCATGACAATTTTTAGAGCATTCTTAGAGCAGGACATCCCTTATCCAGTTTTGGCAGTCCGATGGTTCCAGGATGGGGAGGGAGGGGCGAGACTCGAATCCACCACCCTTCACTCCCCAGGCAAATGCCCTATCACCTAAGCCATGCCAGAACCCACACACCTCTCTCTACCTTCAGGATGTCCCTTGTCCTGTGCTGACTGTTCGGTCTCTCCCAGGGTGGGCGGGGGAGAAGGTGTGACTAGAACCCTCAACCCTGTCAGAAAAGAAGCTCACATACGTGTCTTTAACATAAGGTGTGTACTTACCAGTTGCCATGACAACAAGATTATCTCTTTTATCTTGTAAAACAGAAGAGATCACTTTCCACTGGACCCTTGAAATTAAATACATATTGATTATTTTTTATTTGCTTATAGGCAACTGTATCTTGCGCTACCATGCAATGTATCTGGCATTCACATGTGTAATGTTAGATCTTAAGTAAATCTGTCAGGTCATAAAACCACAGTTGAAATCATCTCCTCAGTATTCTCAGTGTGCTCTCTCTCCTCACACACTACTCACAGCCAAACCGGACTTTCTTGTTGGAGAAAAGCAATACCACTGAAGTCATATTGGGACTATGTGTAGGAGTAAGGCAAGCAGGATTTGTCTCAATCATTAATGAAAGACTACAAATGCAGCCGATGCCCAGTAGATTATTAGAAGCTGATCCTCAGATAGGCTTATCAGTCATTTTCACCATAAAAAAAGTAGGGAAATGCTTAAACTCGGCTGCCAAACACAGCTTTGGGTCCATTCTGTGAGAGAGGGTATTAACATAAATAAAGTTGAGAAAACTCCAGATTTGCCTTATTGTGTCTCAGAATCTACCAAACTGATTTTTCCCAAAGAAAACTGATTTTTCCCAAAGTTTTCATAAAACTTGCTGCATGATGCAAATTGCAAACCTCACAGCATTTTAAGAATTATTTTACCCTATTTATATTGAAAATACCACCATATAATGATATAACACTGATAGATTTTTGGAGGCATTGCAGTACACAGAAGTTATACACATTACTGGAAAGATGAAGTGGGTGAGGGAATATATTTTATTGATCCAACAGAACATATTACTTCACCCATCTCTCTAGTATCCTTGAACACCCATAACTACACCAGCACAGGAATCTGCTCATTTTGAAGGCAGATATCTAGGTTATCAAGTAGTTGCTACATGCCAATGGGTTGAAATACTACATAATTTGTTATATGATGTATGTACACCAATACTGCACAGTTACGATGCACTAGAAATCTATCCTCCGTATACTAGCACTATTTGTAGAGCAATCTGTTTATCACTGACATTTATGCATCACCACAATGTTCTTCCATACTATATAGGATACAGCTACACTGTGGGGTTTTTTTTTTTTTAAAAGGAGGCATGCAAATCATGTTCACATTTGCATATCTTCTTCCAATTCTTTTCCTGGAAGAGGTTTTTCTGATACTTGGCCCATCTACACAGGGCCAAATGTCTGAAAAAAATCCTCTTTTGAAAACCCCTGTGAACCTCGTTTTACGAGGAATAAGGGAGCTTTCGAAAGAGGGAGTTTTCCAGACATTTGGCCCCGTGTAGTTGGGTCAAATATCGGAAAAACCTATTCCAGGAAAAGAATCAGAAGATACGCAAATTCGAGTGAGATTTGCATACCTCCTTTTTAAAAAAAAAACCAACCCACTGTGTAGCCATACTCTATGTGTCTAAGACAAATATAAAAAAAGTGCAAATACAAAACTTCAGTCAAAGTTTATTGTTGCTTTTTTGTTTGAAGTATTTTGGGATATCCTCCTCGGCTGCCTTTTCCACCCCGTGCAAGGCTGACAACGCCCAGTCCACAAGCCTGCTCGGGCTGGGAGCCGGCAGTCCAGTGCAGGGTCACAGCTGGGCTGGAGCAGCCCCTGCCCACCCCGCTTAAACAGTTAGCTAATTAAATGGGATTTTACATCCTTAGCCACCTCGCAATGAAGTTTACTTTGACAGCTTCTCAACAGAGGGGTTGTGCCTATTTGTGCGTGTTCTAGAGCAGTGGTTCCCAATATTTTTGAGACTGGGGACCAGTAAACCTATTCACAAGCTTTTGGAGGACCGGTAATATTTATTTGCACATTTGCATATTTATTAAGCAAATGATGAATATGCAAATAAATTGTTTCTGGTCCTCCCAAAGCCCCCAGTGCCAACAGGAGCAGGCCTGGTCGACCGCCCTGGACGGTTTCCCAACCCCAACCCCAACGTATCTACTTCACTCCAGTTTGGGACCGGTAAGGTTAGAAAGTCCATTTCAGGCCTGAAGGGTGACTCAGCTTGAATGGGACCTGGATGTTAGGTGAGTAGTCCCGTGTTCTCTCCCCCAGTCACGCCTGCGTTCGTGGGTGAAACCGCAGGCCGTACCTGCCCCCGGGTGTGTTGCTGGCCCTATCTGGCCGGCGGGTTGTTCCGCCCCCTTTCCTGGCCCCAATCCCGGCCGCTTTATCGGCCAGCGCCGGCCCCCCCGTTGCATCCGGTGTTCTGCATCGATGTGCACGGTGCCCAGCCTTCTCCCTGGATCCTAGCACCCGCCGCCCGGAAACATGCCCAGCAGAGACACTGCAGCGACGGGCTCTCTCCCAAGAATCATGCACAAACATTTTTCTGAGGACAGGTATCTTTTTTCTAAGGACCAGTACTGGGCCGTGGACCACACTTTGGGAAACTCTGTTCTAGACCAATAAGCTTATTGTTGGTGCTTATCATAAGCAATTAAAAAAATCAGTCTAAATTAAACAAATAAAGGAACTGGACATATATATGTATGATAATTGAGAACATACTTACGGTTTAAAACTAGAATGCCCAAAATATGTCTTTAAGCACGTGACTTGTATTTCAGTAGGTACAGGCAACAAAGGATCTGAAAGAAAAACAACGCATGCATATTTAGCTCTATGGGAAGTGAAAAGCAACGGACAGAAAGAGATCAGGAAGTCTGTTGCTATTAATTTCCTGAACCCTGGACTCATGCAGCTCTAACCGGAAAATCTAGCAAATTTGCAAGACACTGTCAGGAATGAAACCATGAATCTCTTTCTCCATGACAAGTTGATAAGGTTATTTCTCTCAACCTATATAACCACATGGAATACTAGCAACCAAGAAACTTAGCATATTTTTGCCAATTTCTATTTGTAACACATCAGTTAAATATAACTCCTTGAAAATAGTTGGGTTTTGGTCAAGGGGTTAATTTGGAGACTGGCTAGAGGAAGGGAGGATTTCAGTCACCAAGGGGTGAGTAGGCCAGCACTCCCCACAGGACTTGTTTCCACATCACCAGTTCCCAACCACAGGGGCAAAATCACCTGGGAGAAGACTGACCAGCCAAGGTCCACAGATGGAACAGTGAGACTGCTGTGATGAGAGGAAGACAGGCTGCGAAGAGGGCATCAGTGTGGGACAAGTAATTCCTCACGCTATCCCCCTTGTTCTCAATATGTTTCCAGTTTTAGTTTGTAAGGAGTCACCTACAGTTAGCCAAAGACAAAACTGGACTCCAACTTATCTTTTTGGTCTCAATAGTACCAGTGAGCGCTACTTCAGAACTTCAACGTCTGTTTGGTGTCCCTGTCTGCAGTAAACCAAACACAGGGCTTTTTGCTACCTCCTGAATCCGCTTTCACACACAATACAGAGTTGTCATCAACTTTTACTCATACTTGGTATTGTAATTCAATATTACCCCAACTCTCCTCTTCCTCCTCCTCCTCCTCCTCAATGCCTTCATCTTCATCATCATCAGGAGAAAGGTGCAATTTTGTGCCATCAATTCTCCTGCTTTCAGTGGAATCAGAGTCAGTTCGACTGACTTTAGAATCGTCTACATCTTCTACAGACTGAAAATTGGAAGCATAAAGTTAACCACTATTGCATGCAGGGGAAATAATAATGAACAGAACCTGCCATTTTGTTTTAAGTAATATTGCTCAAGGCCATGTGAATTATACTCCAATTATGGTCTGCCTTAGACACTTCATCATGAGGCACAAATCAGGTCATGTATGTGAGAAACTGTCATTAGTAGACAGCTACATACCCTCAAGTGTTACTGTTTTGTTAATTTAAATTCCACTAAATATGACGTTTTATAAGAGGAATTTACTTACCTGTAACTGGGGGGTTCTTTGAGATGTGTGGTCTCTATTTGTATTCCAATACCTGCCCTCCATCCCTCCTGCTCTGAGCTGACATACAATGATAATTGGAATACATATAGAGAACACCATCTGAAGAAGAAATAGTTATTTTCATTTGCCAGTTACATTACAATCTCTCCAATCCTTCCTCTGAGGTGATCTTTCAAAAATTTAAAAGCATCATGTTACATTGTAAATAGCTTCTTTCAGGACATGTGGTTAAGCTGCTGGACAACAACTCTCATTTCTGATTCTTTTCCTCCCTTTGGGATTCTGTTTCATGAATATGATTAGGAGAGGTTCTATGGAGAAAGTCTTGTTTTTTATTAACGATTTGCAAAATAGATGGAGAAAGGATGCCGTTGTGATGTAGTGTGACATTCAATGGGACAAGTAAAACATGAAAAGCTTACTGAGTAGTTTACTAGTACTTTGCAACTAAGATATCCCTTCTTCCTCAGGAAAACACGAATCAGCCAGTATTCCAAGACTAGAATGTAAATAAAGCTCACTCTGCCACATGTATACAAAAGAAAAGAACACAGTAGGGACAGCTTGTGAAAGGAAAAGAGGAAAAATCAAGACAGGAGCAGAACAGAAGAGATATGAGATTCACAACAAAGGTCTTGATTCATGGAATTCATGGATTCATCCATTCATGGAAGATAGGTCCATCGATGGCTATTAGCCAGGATGATCAGGGATGCAACTCTTGGAGTCCCTAAACCTCTGACTGCCAGTAGCTGGGTCTGGGTGACAGGGATAGATCAGTAGATAGCTGCTGTTTTCTGGCCACTCTCTCTGAAGCATCCAGCATCAGCCAGTCCTGGGCTAGATGGACCATTGGTCTGACCCAGCACGGCCAATCTTATGTGCTTGTTAGGAAAGCACTGTTTGACTTTAATTATGTGAGTAGTTCAATGGGATGGCTCATAGGCTTAATTTTAAGCCTGTGCTTACGTGCTTTCTGGATCAGGGCCACAGTGAGAGGGAGAGAATAGGTCTGACAGGAGGATTTCTGATTTTTGTCAAAAATATCTGGAATATGCTGGAAAACCTCCACACTGTAATAAACAGTCTCTTTCCTCTTTTCCGTCCCCCAACCAAAATGACTACCAACTACCTTGGTGAGAGAAACAAACATTATGGCACCTACTTTAAGCATCTCCATTTCCAGTTCTTCATCACTTTCAATGACACAACCAAGATTTTGTTCATTCTCTCTGTAATACGGGTCCTAAAGGAATGATTCAAAATAAGTCTTTATCTTATTGGAAGTCCACCACCCATCCATTCCTCTAACAGACACCTTATTTATATATCATTCAAGCTTTAGCTGGAGATAACTCTTAGCTAAACAATTCTGTCTGGACCTTCCCATAATAAAACATGTTTAAAAAATATTTTAGGCAAACACAGAAAATTGCCATAGATGTTATAAGAGTCCACTTAACCCAGATACAGACAAAGCACTCAAAAGAAAACAGTTATATCAATTAGGATGTGTCTACATAGTACCCTAAACTTGGGTTGCCAGGTGTCCGGTTTTCGCCCGGACAGTCCGGTATCTGTGCGGTAAAAAAAACAGAAAATACTGTTTTATAAAATGTCCAGTAGTTTCTGGTTTTTTTGTCGGCCGGAAGGCCGGTTGGGACATTCCTTCCCTGCTGCATTTAGCGGGGGGAGCAGGGAGTGCTGGGATTTAAAGGTGCAGTTATTGTGTGTGTATGGTGGGTTTTTTGGGGGGTTTTTTTGTTTGTTTTGTTTTTGTTTTTGCCACGCCATGTTTGATTTTTTTTTTTTTAAGTATCTGGCAACCCTACCCTAAACCTGAAATATGATACGCAATTTGCACTATGCAAATTGCGTATCTGATTTCAAATCTATTTTGAAATAGCTTATTTTGAAATTTGGCACATCTACACAGCACCAAATTTCAAAATAACACCCTATTTCAAGCCTCCCCATATCCCTCATGCAACAAGATTTACCGGGATGGAAAAATAGCGCATCCATTATCCTGAAAAATATTTTGAAATAACGGGCGGCTTGTGCAGAGGCGGGGTAGCTATTTCGGGATACTGGAAGTATCCCGAAATAGCTGTGCAGTGTAGACGTACCCTTACAGAAATTAAAGGGAATCTCTCTCTATTAAGGAGAAGTCTCTAAATTTATGAACTCTGTAGTTCAAACTGTGCCTTGTGATACCCCTGCTCATCTCCAGCAACTAAAGGCAGAATTTGGCCCTCTACCCTCTCAAATTCATACTCACAGTAGAAAGAACGAATCTAGAGTTTGTGTATGTACTGAAGTAACCAGGAGCTAAGTGGTAGTGGCACTAAAGAGAGGCTCAGAGATTGACTGGTTTCCTAGATATTGACCAAACTATAGCTTTACATTCAGCTTTGGGGAAGCAATTAAATATTCCTTTCTCTCCCACACATTAGCTGTCATTCTGTGAGTCAACTCTTTAAAATCCCTTGCTAAATTAACAGTAGGATCACTTTTTCTGGTAATGTTCATCACTTTTATGTATTTTACTCCATTACCTCAGACATAGCAGCCTCATTTGGAATTTCTTCCTTGGCCTTAAGTTCCAACATTTGAAGATCATATTCAGTAATGTCCAGTGACATTAGGCAGTTTCTCTCTGTCATATCCTTAGATCCTGTGTCTGTAGTTCCATCTTTCTGCTCAGGCGTACTAATTTCCATTTCACTTCCATTCAGGTGTCCCCCATTGACACTGAGTAACATATCATCATCAATGTAATTATTTAAATCATCTTGAAATCTTGCATGAAATTCAGGCATTTCAGCCTCTTCTTCTTCAAGAATGGTAGACACCACTTCAGATTTTTTTTGAGCTGCAACACAGTCGCTCCCCAGTTCTGCTTGGGAGTTGGGATCACCAAGCAACATGTTTCTTAGAGAACCTATATTTTCCGTCACATCATTTAATATTTCTACAGCTCTATTGGAGAAAAAGGAGAATTAAAAAAGCAGTAAATACATGTTATTGTATCTAATTTAGCAGCAGCTTTTTAAAGGCACTTCTTGCCCTTAAAGATAATGCTAACATACAGCAAAATAACCCGTTCTATTTCCTCAAAACATCACAGATGCAGATTTGTTGTTTCAGCTGTAAAAAAAATAATCTTTACATGTATACAAAATTCTCCTCAACCAAAAATAAATACAAACAACTTATATTTCTGGAGGAAAAATGGTTTTCATCATGCAGTTACACTGCTCCAACATATAAGCTCCGGATACTAGAGCAAGGGTGGGCAAGACAGCCTCTGTGGGCCGCATCCGGCCCACCAAGCCAATTAATCCGGCCCGCTTCTGCCCCGCTGCTCACCTGCCCCCAGGTCAATTGAGACTTGAGAATGGGGGAGTGTGCGAAGTTTCTTCCTCCTGCCAGGGGCGCACGGCATCAGAGGGAACCACCAGCTGTTCAAAACAGCTGATGGGTGTCTCTAGGTGCTGGGGGACAGAGGCAAAGACTTCACATGCTCCCCCCATCCCCAAGCTAACCAGGGTCTGCAGACAGGGGAGCATGGGAAGCCTCCTGGCACCACCCCTTCCGCCTGAGGCACCACCCCTTCCAGGGCAGCCCACAACAACTTCAGAAATTTGTGAAGTGGCCCCCCTTCAAAAATTATTGCCCATCCTTGCATTATAGGCTCCCACACAGGCCATGCAGTGAGAAAGAACCGGGAGGGCAATCAGTCTATCGACCCCTTTGATCCTCGGAGTACAGCATGAGGAGAATCGGGATGCAGACATGAACTAGCTGACTTTGCTTGCAAGAATTGTCCATTAGCTATGTAAACTAAAATCTGTGCAAGACCACTTTAAGCTCCCACCTATCCTGAGACCTAAAGAATTCCCAAACATATTGAGCAGAGCTATACCCACGCTGATTAAAAGTTGCAATAATATTCAAAATTCATTGATCATCTGAGCAATTGCTTAAGGTGGGCTTTGTCACAGTTAAGGGTCACAGGCTTCATCGTATATTTCAGACTCCTACAAGACATGGCTGGGAGGCTAAACCACAAATCCTCTGCTATTACACAAGGAAAAGTTTTAATTCTGCCTCTGAAAAGTGAAGCTTTCTCATGGGCTGAAGTTTTTTTTAAACAGGACTAGACGGGGTGCTCCAACATGTTCTTATGGAGTCAGCCAGCACTAACAAGATAAACTGCAAAACTTGCCTGGATGCAGGAAGCTGAAAAAGGGAAAGCAGGCTAAACCACAAATCCTCTGCTATTACACAAGGAAAAGTTTTAATTCTGCCTCTGAAAAGTGAAGCTTTCTCATGGGCTGAAGTTTTTTTTAAACAGGACTAGACGGGGTGCTCCAACATGTTCTTATGGAGTCAGCCAGCACTAACAAGATAAACTGCAAAACTTGCCTGGATGCAGGAAGCTGAAAAAGGGAAAGCCTGGAAACTAGGGGAAGACTGCTTTGCCTTGGACACAGCTGGCAACAGGGATAGAATGGCAAAGAAAAAGAGACCGTCACAAACTCTACTACTCCTCAGACCTTATGGACCAGGCATAAAGCAAGGGTGACCAGAATGACCACCTTTTATCTTTTTCTTTGATTCTCCCTCTCCCAGGGCAGGCCAAAGAAAAATAACTTTTGTTTGTTTTGTTGGGAGAATCCCTTATGTGCTTTAAGCAAGGAAGGACTCTTAGCAGCCGATATTGTGGTCTGGTGTGGACCCCGGGAAGTCCTCATCCACCACAACAGACACATGGATCTGTAAATACAGATACAGTGCACTGGATTGGATACCAGTAGTACAAACATAAGAGCATACCACTGACAGGGATTTCAAAGATAAAACAGATTTAAGCAACATCTTACCTCTGTGTATTTTTAAGTTGTCCAAAAGTGCTGGGAAGATGATTAGCCAGCTCCATCATTTCTTCAGCTAATGAGGACAGTTGCTTCTTGACTTCATTTGGCAACATCTCCCCATCTGTAAAAGTCAATGTCAGTGAAGTTCCTTTACCTATAACTCACTTCTCTTCTCTACATGTACAAAAACACTTACTAAATAGTTACTGATCCAATAAAAACAACGGATGCTTTAGTTAATAATTAGCTTTGTCTACTTCCTATTTTCAGAAGCAGCCTGATAAGGTGCTGCACAATAGAAAATGGGACCCAGCAGAGACAAACCATCCCTGTGAGCACCATCTGGAGGCCCAGAAGGGCCCAGAGGTTATCTCCACTGCTTCCTAGGGACAGCAAGTCTCACACAGCCCCCGCACCTCTGTCCTGAGCCATGTGGGAGCTAGCCAAAGGGTGAAAGAAACTCAATCCAGCAGGAACAGACACAGAAGTAGCCTTCTAAGTATTACCACAGTGACCAGCAGATACCAACACAGTCATCAGACAGTCTTGACTCTAGACTTTCTCTGCACCGTGGTGATTAGTTGTTTGCTCCAACCCCTCACTCACGGTCTCTTCACTTTAAGGCAATGGGAGATGCTGCATCATGGCACTTTTGAGGTGTGGCCACTTATGTATGTGCTTCAGCATGGAATTAAAGTAGTTTAGCTTTAAGGTTCTATTTTTTAAGAATTTGGACACAAGGCTCTTTGGGACAGGAAACTTGTTTCATTTAAACAAGCACATCAGCATGCTACTGTGCCACAAACAGAGTGAACAGCCCACACATTTAGACTAAGTGTTCTTAGGCCCCGATCCTACAAAGACTTATGCAACTTAAACATGAGTATCTCCACAGACTTTAGCATCATAAACTAAAAGGTGTTTTATTTGTTAAAGCTCACAAGTAAGTGTGCAAACATGCAGCTACATCCTATGAAAGCTGCAAATATAGAGACAGCCACTAAGAGAGGTCACAAAAATTAAACCTTGTGATCTAGAAGGCAGTGTGACTGCTGGATGGTCATTAGAGTGAAAAGAAGGGTACAGCCTGCACAGACAGAGAAGAAAACTTTTTCCACGCGGCTTTCCCTGGAAACAACATGGTCAAAAGCTACACTAAGATTTTTAGCTTAACTCATTAGTTCTGAACATGTAAATGGGACATAAGCTTTTCTAAAAATCTGGGCATATATGTAGATGCCTAAATAGGAAAACACTCATATACCAAGGTAATACAGGTCATCAAAGAACCCAAAGAGAATACTCTCACTGCAAGCTGTCTGTAAACTCCAAACAATTCAATGTCTGATTAGAACACACACGTTCCTTATTCTTTTCATTTGCAACTTACCATTTTTTATACAACAGAGCCTCTGACCATAGTTATTCATGTTTTCCAGTTTTTGGTAAATGAGGAGGCCTGCCTGTAAAGAGAAGCAAAACAAATGTAATGCTTTGGACTCCATACAGATCACATTTTACATTTTTTCCCTTCTATGGTTAGAAAAGCTTAAAACTGAACAAGCTACACATTTCTTCTCAAATCCAAGACATGAAATCTATTTAACACTAAGTGAAGGATTTGTATTCCAAACAATGTCAGTAATGGAACATTAAGTCAGAGAACTCGATACAAAGTACAATTTAGCCTAATACGTTCTTAAAGTACAGGTATGGGTGCAGGAACATATCAATGACTTTAGTGAACATTATTTCAAGATGTTAGAGGTCTGTTCACTTAAAGTTAGAAACAAAGCAAATGCTGAGCTAACCTCGTGCTTTAATAAGTAACTCAAACTGCCTTCGCTCTACACCCATGGACGCAGTCTACAGTACAAAGTTAGAGCCATGTCTACGCTACTGGCTAAAATTGACATAAAGGTCTTCTGGTGGGTTGGGGGGGGGTAACATCAACTCTCCTAGAGATCTGCCTAGTTTTACAACAAGCTACATAAAAAGGACTAGGGAAGTGAGTACAAATAAAATTTCAAACAATGACTTGTTCATAATGTTCTATGTACTATACACTGACAGGTAAGTACAGTATCTCTATTCTAAGTAATTTATTTTTATAATTTTACGGTAAAAACAGGAAAGTAAGCAATTTTTCAGTAATAACATACTGTGACAGGTTTGTATTGTTATTCTGATTCTCTAAGCAAACAATTTTTAAGTGAGGGAAAACATGTAGGAGTACTCATGACAAGTCAGACTCTTGGCAAGGGAACAGTAGTCTGGAAAGGCCGAGAGCCACTGGACTATGGCATGGTGAATAGATTAGTACCATCTGCCTCAGTGCTCCATGGCACACAAAAAGTGGGCAGACTACGTCCTCTATTTTCATTTAATAAAGAGCCTTATGGACAGTGCTATATACAATATTAAAGAAAACTACAATAACTGTTCCTGCTTCCTCACTCTTGGAGCTGGCTCTTGATAAGTCTCTACCTGTGCCTTGTGCAAGGTTATAGCTAGATGTAGAAGAACACAATTTGCTTTTCAGCTCATCTCAGTAAGGAGACAGCCTACTGCATCAAGCACTAGCTGTAGCTGCTTTCAACATTTTGCCTAAGCCTCAGAGAGAGAAATACAATACTCTAGCCTGGAAATGTTGAAACACAAACCACTGGGGCCTGGTCATTGTTTGAGATGGAAATATGATGATGGATTTGATGCTGCTGAGAACAAGTACCCCAAGCAGGCACCTTTCCCTAAGTACTGCAGCTTGATGGAGTGAGGGGCCTGTATGGGACAAAGGGAAGGATGCAAGGTTTGGGGAGAGGGGGAGTCAAACTCTTGGGTTTGGCTGGTTTCATGAACTTTCCAAGCAGAGGTGCTGGGATGTGAGGGGAGTCTCTGGGTAGCTGGCAGGAGTTGTGGCCAGAGAAATTATATCAAATGGACATGATGATATTAACCTCCTTGACAAAGCACTTTGAGATCTGTTCATGTAATGTCCCAGATATTGTAATTACTTCATTCCCACATGCAATTATTCAGTGAAGTAAGGCCTTTCCTCTCCTCTGTTTGCCCCCTTTCCCAACAGAAAATTAAGCATTGTTTCTAAAACTAACAGAACCCTTATTCAACTGGATATTATGCCTGACTAAATTGGCCCTTGCTGTTTCTCTGAGGCTACGTCTAGACTGCAAACCTCTTTCGAAAGAGGCTTTTTTGAAAGATACTTTAAAAAAAGCCTCTTTCGAAAGAGAGCGTCTAGACTGCAACCAGTACTTTCGAAAAAGCAAACCACTTTTTCGAAAGAGAGCACCCAGGCAGTCTGGAGACTCTCTTTCGAAAAAGCACAGTTTGAGCACTTTTGAAAAAAGGCATTATTCCTCATAAAACGAGGTTTTTCGCGGTCGAAAAATCTGCCGCGTTCTTTCGATTTACTTTTGAAAGAATGAGGCAGCAGTCTAGACGCAGGGGAAGTTTTTTCGAAAAAAGGCCACTTTTTTTTAAAAAAACCTGTAGTCTAGACACACCCTGAGGGATAACGTTTCCTGCTAATAGACTATGTCCTTAGCCTGCCAAATGATACAAGTGTATATTGGGATGGTAACATTTCTGGTCAATAGAAATTGACAAGTTAGATACTTTTCTTTGCCACTCCTATCCTAATCCACAGAACTGAAGTTATTATTGAAAATGCAGCAAGTCTTTATGCAATGCTGCTGTTTATATAATTTTAATCCTAATGTTTTGACTTTTATAGGTTTATAATTCTAAACTGCATAATTCTCTAGCACAGTGTTTCTCAACCTTTTTTTTCATAACCCCTCTCCCCTTTTTTAAATTATAAGTACCTCCAGTACCTCTAGTTTTCAGACACACATTTTTGTTCTGCCATTACAACACATGTTTAAACAACTTAATCGTAGGCGGGCAGGTGAAGAAATTTTGGAGTGTACAAAGTACAAAAATAATAAAGCGCTGTCAAATTTAAAACAAAAATTCAGTTTTCTCCAAATTACAGTTGTGTTGACGTACCACCCAGACTTCTCTCAAGTACCCCTAAGGGTACTCGTACCACTGGTTGAGAAACACTGCTCTAGCATATTCACAGATCAGACCCAGATTTTAAGATAGAAAGCAGTACCTTGGAGAACAGCCCCCAACGAATACATGGTTAAAATGCAATCAAGAGGGGAAAATGTTGGGCAGTAGCATACACAATGTGTCAGAGGCCAGCCTGCAGTACAGCCACTCCTCTGGCAAGCTAATGAGTACAGATGGCCCTGGTTGGTTGAGGGAGTCAACTGCATCACCTGATTGGCAGAAGGAGTCAACAGGCTGATATTTAAGCTCAGGAGCTGTTCTACATCTTCCTAGCCCACAACTGCACTTAGTTCTTTTCTTGCCTTCACTGTCTCATTCTGACTCCCGGATACAACCCTTGTCTTCATTTCTTTATCCCCACCATTTGAATTCAGCTCTAACTGGTAGGCCAGCCTCTTGATCCAAAGACTAGGCCAGACTGCTCACAGTTCAGTCACCAACACTATGACGTTTTATAGAGTGTTTTGTGGGGTGGATTTCATTCTAACAATTTTGCTGCAAGGAATCTGAATTGCACAACTGCAAGACATTAAAAAGGACAGCAAATAATGTACTAAGAGGAATTAAATAGTTAAACATGGAACGGAGCTATTTGTACCCACATAAGCATCAGTGGCTGCATACAACTTCTGTTCCTCGCTGAGTGGAAATTCTTCCCAGTTACCACAGCGTACATTCTTGTCCTTCAGAAGCTGTTTGCTAAATAGATGTTTTACTAGGCCATTCAGACTCCATATCTCCTTACATTTCAGCTAAAAATAAGAAATATTTATTAAGTTCACAGCAATTGTATGTGGTAAAAAAAAATTTCAGAACAAAGCTGATTCAACAAATCAGTTGAATCAGTAACAAAGCTGATTCAACAATGTAAGTGGAAGCTCTGAATAAATCATAATTCACTCATTTCTCAACAGACCTACAGATTTACAGCTTGATTCTCCTCCTACAGTGTTATAACTGAAAAACTTCAGCATTCGTGCCCTGACGTAGTAGTCTTGTACAGCGTTCCCTTCTTGCCAACTAGAATGCTGCATCAGGGCACCATCAGCATATGAAATGAGGAGCTGGTGTCCACAGCATGGCAAGAAAGAGAAATACACCACACAAGTGCTCCATACAGGGTCATTTTAAAGCAGCGATTCCCAAACTTAGGGTTGCGACATGGGGAACTGGGTCAGCAGCCAGAGCATTTTGGGGAGGGAAGCTCCCTAGCAGCTGTGCGGGGAGCTCGTTGGAGGGGTTAGGGGGGCAGAGGAGGAGCTCCCCCATAGCCACAGGGGAGGTCTGTGTGAGTGTGTGTGTGGTGGGGGGGGAGCTCCCTGGAAGCTGCAAGGGGAGCCCCACAGAATGAGGGTGGGGGGCTCTAAACAGATATAATTTATTGGGTCATGGGCATAAATGATTTTTCCCAACTGGGTCACGAGAATTTTTTTTTTGAAAACTACTGTTTTAAAGCACTGATTCTAACCTCTCCACTTCATCATCTTTAAAAGCTTTTATGATGCTTTCTTGAGATGATGTATTTCTTATATACCTATTTCCAGCTTCTTAGCATATGGTTTCTGATTCTACTAAACAGTAGTTTCCGTGAGTTTAATGTGGCATTGTTCTCTCAAACCAGGTCCAAAAGCACAACCTTCTACTAAGTATTAAGACTTCACCTTAAAAGACTTAAAATTCTGTATGCCGTGCCTATCATTAGGAAAAGTAAGGGTGATCAGAATTTATGTTCTCTACATCTGTATTCTAGCAATATGACATTAGACCAGAAGAGACCACAATAATTCATTCTTGTCCCAGATATAGAACTGTTTGCTCCAGATTGCTCCCTGAGTCAACTGATCTAGCACACAGGTATTTCCCTAAGCGACCAGACGCATCAATACAAACATATGTCCACATCTGGATTTGATATCTGAGGGTTCAATCAATCAATAATTACCAATATCTACATTAGGGCTCTGGACAGAGGTTGGTATTGTAATGTTTTATGCTGGAAGAACAGAGAAAAGGGCAGCTGTAACAGTAAATACTCAGACTTGAAAATGTGAACTGCATCAGTTGTAGCATTTTGGGGAATTTAAACACTGTTTCATGCATTATGCTATCTACAGGGAACAGAGGCAATTAAGTACTCAGTTAATGGGCCCTGTTCCGAGAGAGAATGGTTATTCAGAAGAACAGGGTGTCAAACCTAAGAACTGCCACAGAGGAACAGATACCCAGCCCACCTAGCCCAGTGTCCCACCTCCAACAGAAGCCAGTATTAGATGCTTCAGAGAAAGATAGACAAAATTCCACAGTGGGCAGAGGGGGATAATCTGCTCCCCACAACAGGTCTCATTTCTTGGTCTTGATAGTTAAGGCTGAAGTATGCTTAATATCCCTTTCCAATGCTGGTTTTTGTTAGTATTATCTCTTTTAATGCTGAATATTCTTGCTATCCATATAAAACTGTCCAGTCGCTCCCTCTTTGGACCATTATAAACTGCTGGCCTCCACAATTCTGCTGTACTCTAAGCCAACACCTTTAATGAAACACCTACTATGACATCCACATTCCTTTCCTGAGTTCATACAGTAAAAGTACTGGTACATTTTACAGGGTTCTAAATGCTACCCTCCATTGCGCATTACTTTACATTTAGCCACACTGGCTTTTATTCCACATTGTGTTTCCTTTTCACCTAGCTTGGTTAAGTCTCTCTGAAATTCTACATTGCTCATGACTAACAAATAACTGTTTGCAAATTGTGCTACTTCAGGAATCACCTCCCTTTCCAGATTGGCAATAAAGAATAAAAAATACATTAAAATGCCATTAATGGTACAAAGCAACCACTTAAGATACAGTAGGTTGTGCTGGGGAGAAATACTAGGGATGTTAGCTAGTGGGTAATAGAATAGTCGACTAATCGCATGAATTCTTAGGCTTAGTCAACTATTCCACAGTCCCTTGGGGAGGGGCTGGCAGCTAGTGCATTCCAGCCCCACTCCCGAGGAGCCCCCTATCATCCTGCACTGCAGCAGCACAGGGTGGCAGGTGTAAGCCGGTCCACAAGGAGAGCCAGTTTAAAAATTAGCTCCCCTCATGCCCCACACTGCTGCCTCTGACACAGCAGCACAGGGTGGCAGCAGCCTCTGCCTGCAGTGGATCTAAGTTCCTTGTAGACAGAGGTTGCTGTGAGGGTGGAGAGGGCAAGGGAGACTGCTGCGAAGCAGCCTCTGTCCACAGCAGCCTGGGCTGGCAGTGGACAGAAGCTGCTCTGGCATCAGCCCCTAACTGCAGGGGGTCTGAGCTCCCCACGGACAGAGACTGCTCCAGCTGGGATGCAGGGGCTGCCGCCGCAAAGCAGCCTCTGCCCTGCCCCTGCACTGATAAAGGCAGCAGCACATAGGGGTGGGGGCAGAGGCAGCACCAGCTCCTTCGCCCCTCCTCCCCCCATTGCTTCTGATATGCAAGTACTCATTCACACCTCTAAGAGAGATGCCCTGTATGTGAAAGAAAGCAAGACTGAAATACAGTAAAAATCTTGTGTGAATCTCAATGGATAGAAATTCCATGCTTGACTAATAAGAGGATAACAGAAGGAATATATTACCTACCACCTGACCAGGATCATGACAGTCACTGTGAAATGCTCAAGAAAATCAGAGCAGTTACAGAAACAAAAAATGCTACATCACCTGGGGATTTTAACTGTCCTCTACTAACAGAGATCATGTCCCCTCAGGACAGGATGCAGATAAACGAATGACAGCTTCTTAGAGTAACTAGTCCTGGTACCAATAAAGAGAGAGGCAAGTCTTCCGTTTGTTCCTAGTGATACACAGGATCTAGCCCACGGCTGGGCAAAATAGAGCCAGGGGGCCAGATCCGGCCCGTGAACCACGCTGCTGGGATCCTCAGGCACACAGCTGCCGCGGTTTAAAGCACAGTCTGTGCGGCTCACTGCTCCATGGGAGGGAGAGGCTGTGTGTGACTGGAAACAACCAGCTAATAGAAACTGAGATATTGACCCGGGGGATGGGGGCAGCACAAGCCTCTTCCCCCTCCTGGTGAGTCCTCTCCTGTACCCAAGCACTCTCCCAGAACCTGCACCCCATTCCCTCGCCCCAGGTCACTACTCAAACCCTCTGCAGTCTGCACCCCCTTTTCCTCTTCTTCTAGGTCACAATTCCCTCCCAGACTGTGCACCTCCTCCTAGAGCTCCTCCGCCAAGCCAGAATCCTGTCCTGCACCCATACTCCCTCCCTGACCTTACACCCTAATCTCCTGACCCAGGTCACAACCCCTCCTTCACCCAAATTCCCTCTCACACCATCTCCTGCATCCCAGTCCCTTACCCCGGGTGCCCTTCTGCACCTAGCCTCCATCCTAGACTCCGCATCTCCTCCACAGAAAAGTGCGGCCCTTGATCACTTTCCAAAGTCTTGGAGTGGCCCCTCCAAAAAAATTATTGCCAACCTGAATCTAGTCCAAAAGATAAATATACCTGAATTTGCTCCACAGTAGCAACTATAATGTAAATAAATTTAATATTCTTGTAGGGAGGAAAAAGCCAAAGAAACCCACTTCAAGTAGCATTTAACTTTTTTAAAAAGGAAACTACACAAAGACAAGGAAGCTAGTTATAATAAAATTAAAGGAATAATCACAGAAGTGACAAGCCTGCCAGGTGCACAGAAAAAAAATTTAAAAAAATACCACAACATAGGCTCAAATTATGTGTGTATCCCAAATAAAAGAAACGTTAAAAAACACACACAGAAAAAGAACCAAAAAGTGCCACTATGCTTAGTAGAGTGTGCACCGTAGACTAAAAGAGATGGTTAGAGACAATAAGTAACCTTGGGAAGTCAAATCCTACTGTCAAAAATAGAAAGGTGCATACACTCTGGCAAGCCAAGATTAAAAACATAATCAGGCAAGCCAAAAAAGAATTTTAAGAGCACACATGACACAAAAACTAATAAAAATTTAAGTACATCAGAAACAGGAAGCCTGCCAAACAATCAGCGGGACCACTAGTTTGCTCAAGGTGCTAAAGGAACATTCAAGAAAAACAAGGCTGTTGTAGAGAAGCTAAACGGATACACTCTGTCACTATTCACTGAAGAGAATGGGGGCAAGATTCCCATACCTGAGCCATTCTTTCTAGGTAAAAAATCTGAGGAACTGCTCTCTATTGAGGAGTCAGTACAGGTGGTTTGGAACAAACTGATAAACAGTAATAAGTCACCAGAACTGGCACTAAGCCTGGGACCCCACCTGATAAACCCTTCCGCTTGACTGTGAACCACTTGATAACTACTTTCTGTGAACCATATCCCAGCCAGTATTGCACCCCCTTATGTTCTGAACTGGTTCTCCTTTATCCACTGCCTCTCTGATATAATCTCAGAGAATTCTAACATATTAGTCAAACATGATTTTCCTTTGCAGAACCCATGCAAGTTAGACCCTATCCTATTGTGACTTTCTAGGTGTTCTGTTTTTAATTATTGTTTCAGCCAATGGATCAGGCAATAGTTAAGGCTTTCTGAGGTCTGCAATTCACCATAACACTCTTAGGCCATGTCTACAATACCACTTATTTCGATGATATTGCTCAGGGATGTAAAACTGCCCCCCAGAGTGCTGTAAGTTACACTGATCTAAGCGCCACCGGGGACAGCGCTATTTTTGGCAGGTGACCTTGTCTGAGCAACATTGCTACCACGTATTGCAAAGATGGATTTACTGTGTCTACGGGGCAGTTCTCACCCAGCAGCATAGAGAACTTTTTCCAGACGCACTACAAGATATCACTTCTACTGCTGACTAGCCCTCAGAGGATTTTATAGAGATAGGTACAACATTTGCTATCCTCCAGTCCTCTGGAAGAGTATGTGTAAAAAGCAGACCCTTTGAAGACCTCCGTGATATAAACTGATTTTTTTTTTGTTCCTAAGATTTGTGCCGTCGGCTTAAGGCTCACCTTTACCCAAATTCAAAGATTTCTTTGAGATAAGCACAAAGTATTTGGAACACACATGTAAATCAAAACAAATTGAAGGAGATACTTTTTCACACAAATAGAAATTGATCTACTGCGTTCTCTGCCACAAGAGATCACTGAAATCAAGAGTTTAGCAGGATCACAAAAAGATGAAACATTTATATGGACAGCAAGAATAGCTACAGTTGTGACAGTAAATTTTTAACAAATGCGAGTTTTGGAAACTCATGCTTCACCGTGTAAGCCAGCCCATAACTATTGGGGATAGAAGGACACTTTCCCTGGGGCAACTGTAGAGTTTTTTTTTCACCTTCTTCTGTAGTACCTAGTACTGGCCACTGCTGGAGACAGGATACTGGATTAGATGGACCTTGGATCTAATCTAGTTTGGCCACTCCTGTTAGTACACATAAAAGGGAAAAAATTTAAATTGATTTTTAATGATGTTCCAAATGGAAGAAAATGGCCTTGAAACAGAGTTGAAGTGGAAAAAAATCTGTAGGAAAATGAAATATACTGTGCAATAAAAATGAAGGCATTTAATACTGTAGTATTACGTGAGTTCCTTCAACATTCAAAAAAAACTTTAAAAAGTGTTACCTGTTAATATTTATCTCTGGTAACTCATCTACAGTGTATGATTGGTGCCACATTTGCACTTTTATGACAATAAAAATTTCCCTTTGTTTAGCATAATGGAGAACACTCCCCACCCTGACATTGAATTTTTACTTTTTCGTTGGCTATATCAGCCAGTTCTACAAAGCTCTTCAGTCTGATTTCGAAGTCGCTCATCAGCTTCCACTGATCTCCTTCAATTCCTACTCCAACCTTTTTAATGGCTTCATCTTCAAGCAATCTTTTGAGTCCCTGGGGAAAACCTAAAACAGATTAAGTTCAAATATAGTCACCTATATGGCAAAAGATGCCAGGTTATAATTTCACATGGAAAATAGGTGAAATCCTATCAAGGATAAATTTGGGCAATCTATTTTTTATAGTAATATCAAAATCCTTGCTACGTATGTATCTATAAAGCAGTAAACCTAGCCACCATACAAATGCATGTGATATCTATTATTGCACTTCAATTCCAAGGCAGGCCAGTCACTCTAGGTTTTTTGCTAGCTGGAGCTCTGAATGGTTCTAATATATTTTCATCTGGAGGCAAATAACACTGAAATTACGCAAAAGTTATTTTTTGCTTATGGAAACAACAGATCAAAAAGTGGCTTCCAAGCTGATATTTACTTCTAAATGCCTCATTCATCAGCATGAATGGCAACCAGCAAAAACAGGAAACGACCTTTGGAAAATAATTTCTGCTCCATAAAGCTGAATGATCACTAAAATTGAATGTGCTATTTCAATGTTTTTCATATATTTACTTCCAAATTATTAAACTGTTAGCTGGAGTTACCCAGCGTTGCTTGGGAAACCAGAGGAACAAAATGTAGAAAAACAATAGTCCATTATTTTTTTTGAATGGTCGAAAAATTGTACTGATTTCTATAGGGATTAAAATATAGGTCCGCGTCACACCCGAGAGGGTGGGGGAAAGGGAGGGAGTGCGACCCCAGATGGAGGGGAGGTTACACGCGGGAGGGGCGCCCCAGCTGGCGTCGGAGCTGCAGGAGGCAGGGCGGGGTCAGGGCACTGCGTGCCAGCGCGGGGGAGGAAGAGGGTCGCTTATGTAAGGGGGCGAGTCCTGGACGGCGCTGGGGGCTGCAGGCAGGGGCACAAGACCTAGAAACTTGCTCAATTTCTACATTCCAAACTTGACTTTTACACTAACTTAGTAAGTATCTGAAGACTCAACACTTCACCATGTGTGTCTGCCTACATTTTATGATATAATCTTGGTACGTTTATGGTGTACATTCTGCCCAGACTCCAAAATTTATACTGAATGATAGTTCATGGACTAGGTTTTGTATTTAGGACTCTATATATTCTCCTCAATTCACAGGGCATCTCCTACTGGTATGAACAGAAGGTTGGCATAAAGGTTGAGAACTAGTAACTCAACTTTCATAACCAACCTACGTTCAATGTCATCACGTTTATCATCTCACAGTAGGAAATTTCAACCTTTATGATCACCAGCATGTTTGCCCTTGTTTCTTTTCTCCTTCTATTTTCCTTTCATTCTCTCCCTGTTTCATATCTTTGTACCTTTCTTCCCTCTTTCCTACCCTTCAGTACCGCCCCATCACATTTGCTAACATAAGCAATTAAATACAGACATTTAAAGTGCCACCGTTAAACATCAGTGAACACTCCAATGAGATTAACACACAGTTTCAGAACATCTGCAGACACATGATAATAACTTTGTATCAGTCTGCTATCTATTCATGTAGGTGCTTTCATTTATAACCACAAATGCTTAGATTCTATAGACACTGTATATATAAGGTTTGCCACAAATACATCAAGCGAGAGAGAACTGACCTTCTCAGCAGATATTTGATACCTCCCCAATGGGAATACAGTATAACACACAGATTTTAAGAACCATTATCCTGGCTCAACTAGCTAAAAACCTTATAAGGGACACTGTCAGCAAAATTTAGGCCTACAGTTTCATTTCTGTGGAGAGGAGAAAAATTATATTGAGCAAGTAGGTACATAATAAAATCCCCCAAAATAGGTATGACTGTTAAATAATTTTTTATTTTAGTAAAAATTATTTTCTTCATTTAAAACTCTCAGCTGTGCTGTGAATCCAAAGAGTCATGTGCAGGCAGCACACAAACGCAAGAAAGAGATTGCATAAATAAGCTATGATAGTCATCTTCAAAGAGAAATGAAAACATTAGCACAGTAAATGAGAAGGAAACGTCTTTTCCTCCTGCTGTGGGAACAATGGGAGCTATTGGAGACTGAGCACTTTTGAAGATCTGACCACTTCATTTAGATGCCATCTGGGAGCTGCAAGATACTAAACTGCTATGAAAAAAAAAAACTAGCTCTTAACATTTATTCGGATTTAATTTACAATTTTAATAATACAGATAAGGAATTTTTAATTACATTAATGTTATATTAATGGTGGTATTTTCAGGATGTAAACTACTTATATGGGCCAACATAGACTGAGGTACTCATGTAGAAATGCATAGTTCTCTGCATTAGCTGAAACAGGAAGTACTAACTTCTTCAAGAGGCAAAAGCATAGATTAAGTAACCTGAATCAGGGAGGCAATTCATGTTCATATGAGTCAGGGCACAGAAAGAATGTACTAACCTCTCATTGAAGAAATGTGAAACAAGTAACATTTTTTCTCAGACACACATATTTGGATTAGGGCAACTTTCCCTCCTTTCCCTTTAGTAAATGATGGTGGCCATTCAATGTCAAATCCTATCACTCCTCCATCAGATAAGTTTCTTCTGAAGAGAAAATAGGTTGATTTAATTCCCATTTAAATATTCTACTACACATATATCGAGTATGACATCTGACAACAGAATAGCTTCCTTGAAAATGAATGACTAAAAAACTCTCTTACTCTCTTTAGGGGCTGTGAAAATTTCACCAGAATTAGTAGAGTTGTAGTCCAACAGCCTCCATGCAGAGGGTAAAATTCACCTTAGTAGGAAGAGCCAACATGAAAAAATGGGCAGGCAGCCATTTTGCTGGCCTGCTATGCTGCAAGTAAATTCACCCCAAGAGAGAGAAGTAGATCACTCCTTCCTTCTGTATTTCTTGGAAGTCCTTGTGTAGAAGTATTTTCCCAATTTATTTTAGACTATTTACATAATGAATCGATAAAATATTAAGTCCCAATCTTGCAGAGATCCAAACACATACTTTACAAACTATAGTCCTATTGAAATTATTGAAGCCCCTGCAGCTAGTCACACTGTGCAAAGTTACACACTTCAATGTGCAAATCCTGTACCATTCAAGACTGTCTCCAGACATGAAGTCTCAGAAAAAGAGTACCAATTGCAGAACTAGTCATCTAAATTAAATAAAGCTTATTGCTTAATATCCACTCACTACAGACACCTTTCAGTAGCATTTATGAATAATTTTAGAGCTAAGAATCTGTAACTTCACTTGGTGCACTTTAACAGTATGTAAAGGCAGACAGAATTCTGCTACTTACACTAAAGACGTGACATCTACTATCAACAGACATTTTCTATGGCTCAATGGCTGACTCAGTCTGTGTATGAAAATTACACAACAGGTATGGATCTGTGTATTAAAAACATAAACCCTTCTCTGAGATAGAGATAGACACACCAAGAAAACATGTAAGCTTTTACCTGATATCTTCTGACAGAAAGGAACAGTCGCTGGCATCGTAGCTGTAAACAACAGAGCCATGGAACTCTAAGAAAGGCAGGTCATTTTCCAGAACACTCCTCTGGATCTGTTATAATGTGTATTCAGCCACATTGCAAATACATTCATTAGCACAATTGTTGCACAATAGTTTTAGCTATCAAAACAATTTTGGGATTAATTTGTTAGGCTGCGTCTAGACTGGCATGATTTTCTGGAAATGCTTTTAACGGAAAAGTTTTCCGTTAAAAGCATTTTTGGAACAGAGCGTCTAGATTGGCATGGACACTTTTCTGCAAAAGCACTTTTTTGCAGAAAAGTGTCTGTGCCAATCTAGACGTGCTTTTCCGCAAAAAAGCCCCGATCGCCATTTTCGCCTGACTTTTGCCTGAACAGAAGCAGAATAGTATTTCTGCAAGAAGCACTGATTTCTTACAGTAGGAAGTCAGTGCTTTTGCGGAAATTCAAGCGGCCAGTGTAGACAGCTGGCAAGTTTTTCTGGAAAAGCGGCTGATTTTCTGGAAAAACTGGCCAGTCTAGACACAGCCCCCACTGTAAAAATATTTAGCAGAAAAGTTACAAACTTTAAAACAGAGCTCATAGCCCTGGTTTCAAGCACTTACAAATTTGTCAAACTCTAACCATTTGTTGAAATTTTCCATGGCAGGTGTCAGTCTTTTATTAACTTGCTTTTGTAAAATTTCAGCCCAAACAGTTCACCATTTCTGAGAACAAGACTAGGCTCTAAAGTCTGATATTGTTTTGTTTTTGAATGCAGTTATTTTTAAGTAATTCTACATTTGTAAGTTCAACTTTCATGATAAAGACATTGAACTGTAGAAATTGTATTTAGGGTGAACTGAAATATAAGATTTCTTTTGTTTCATACAATGCCCAAGTATTTGTAATAAAAATAAATATGAGCACTGTACACTTTTTATTGTGTTGTAATTGAAATAAATATATTTGAAAATGTAGAAAACGTCCAAAATATTTAAATAAATGAGATTCTATTAATAGTACAATTAATCGTTATTTTTTAATCGTTCAATAGTTCTAATATACAATTAATCTACAGACAAGCTGTAAGTATATTAACAAAGAATACTTGAACAATGGGACGAGCTGAAAATGTAGTAAAATTGAATGTAGGTCCAAACTATCTGTGTAATGTAACACAACTAAAATTTCACATCAAATCCTACCTTTTTTTCACCCACATCATCTTTACTCTGTGCAGTCATCCATTGAGGAAGTTTATGATGTGGAGAAGTCATTTTCAATTCTATTGGATTAACACTTCTGCTGCATTTCTGTTATTTTTGTTCTGTAAAATTGAAGGGGGAAAAGGACCTTATCCTCTCACACGAAGGGTTGAATTATAGATTGGAAGAGGAAAGTCATTGACTGTATTAGATTAATAAACTCAAACTAAGAAAAA